AGCTAGACATTTTTAATATATTCCATCCCAAGGTTCCATACTCTGCAATTTACCTTATACTATAACACTGAAGTGGGTTTACTGCTCATTGTACAGGCTGACTAGGATCAACACCTGAACACCACAGTTGCCTAACTCTTTCTCTATTTCTTGTTTAGTTTTGAATCAGGATGGTGCAATTTACAGTGGGCATTTATAGTACTCAGGAAGCATAAAAGAAAATCTTCTAAGAGACGAATTCACAGCTTTCATCTGTCTGAGAGCTAGGCCAGACTTTCTGCAGCATGGCAAGCACCGTTCAAAGTTCTGAAGAAGTGAAATTGGTGCTTTAAGGCACTACAAAGCTTTAAACACTCATTTTGCCCCCATGCCCCTCCAACAATAAAATGGGCCCTGTTTTTTGAGCCCATCCACTCTGAGGGCTGGCAGGCCCACTTTACTAAGAAAAGTATTCACATTCCATTCCAAGTGTATGACTGTTTCTTGAATACTAGAGCTGTATGGAGAAGCAATGCTTCAGAGCCATCTGGATTCTCTTCTCTGGAGTGAAGCAGGACTAAAAAACCTGCAACCTATGTATCGAAGTGTGCTACTCAGCTCAGGTATGGCATAAACATTTTTAGGCATGTGCAACGGACTGAAGGCCAACAAAGCAGCAGCCCCAACATGGCTCTGAGACTCTGCTACAACCCATAGAAGCAGGGTGTGTTTTGCTTTGTGCAGCTGCACTTAAAGGCTACTTCGCTGAAGACTCAATTTGAATGAAGAACTTCACTCAGGCCCAATGCATCTATCAGAAGAAAAGGGATTCTCACTGCAAGGCTTGCTCTGTACTCAGTTCTTCTTTTAGGAAGACAAATGTTTCTCCTTCCTCAGGCTCCAGAGAACTAATATCAGGACCATCGTGGTATGGAGTAATTACTCTGCGATCCATAGCAGGAATCTGCAACATCGTAACGTTTTTTTAATTTGAAAATCAGAAAAAATAGGAAACCATCAGATTTGTATTTTAAAAAGCTATTGGGATGAACGCTGAAATTCTGAAAAAAACCCATGGTTTAAAGAGTGCTACAGTGATCTAAGAGTGCTCTACAATGAATTAATCACACAGAAATATCTGAGGGAACAATGCATAAAAAACACACATGTAGCTTTCTTTATCAAAAAGGAGAAAATGTTGTACATGCATTTTTACTTATATTATTACAATAATCTTCGCAACCATAGGAACTTAATGCAATATAAAAAAATTAGATGAAATATGTTATTCTCTAAATCAACTTTTTCTGCAAAGAAAAAAGCAATGTCGGATATGGGCAACCTTTTCAGGATGCACACATTCCTATGCATCCATGTACAATGTCTGGGCTGGTAAAAATTAAAAATGACTTTATCAAAATCTCACAATATTTGAGGTCTCAATAGGAACACCAAATTTGCAAGCATAAATGTTGAAATGCCTTGACATTACTAGACTTAAATCTTGAAAGATTTTATAGAAAAATAAATGAAATGTTTAACTGGGGGTTCCAAGAGGATCAGATAAATTACAAGCATCTTGGTGCCTGAGCGTGCCATGCTACTATCAGTTGTGCTGCTCAACTGGCTGTACTGTGTTTTAGGACTGTATTGCTCATACTAAAGCTGTTATTTTACAATATGAGAAACTGCTCACTCTGCCACAATTCACTAGCACATTTACATTTTATTTGGAACTTCTCACAATATATTTCTATAACTTTAATGACGCATGAGACTGCTATCAATGCCACATATAATCAAAAATAAATTGGGAAGAGAGTTTCAGTAAAAAAATAAAATGACTTCAAAGCATACCATATGACTTTAATAGCCTACATTAATTTAAACAGGTACCTAAAAACAATTGTTACATTTCTTCTTTCAAGTTATTATAAATGGTATTCTGTTTTAACTAATCAATGCAGAACTCACCATTTTTCTGTAAGAGGTAGAAAGATCCTTCAAAACTTCATCACTTAAAACATCCAGAACTCTATGACAAATACAAATTAAATGTGGTTCAGTAACGGCGTTATACCTTGCTGTACCCCAGTAGAAAACAATGAAAGCTGAACATGCTGACTTCTGAATATTTTTTTAAAATTCAGTTTCTTAAAGCATAGGATATATTGATAATAGACTTAAGTTCTAAAGTGACAGGAATTGAGAAAACAGATGTTTTGAACTTGGAACAAAACAGCACCTTGAAATGGTTGCATTCCATTGGAACAAAAATTGAAACATGTCAGATACTTTGTTTTGCCCTCAAAATACAATTCTTGAAGTATGTATGTTCTAATATAAGTTCAGAACACTCAAATCAAATGAGTGTTCATGAAAACAGAATTAGTTAAATAGCAGCAGTTAAAGATAAAATTATTGAAACATGGTGGATGTATATATTCAATGTGTGTTTTTTTATTAAAAATATGGGTTGTGTTGTTGCTTAATATAATTCTGTTATTTGCTATTTTTAGTATTTTTGTCAATGTTCTGTTTCAATTAAAAAGCAAAATAAAACCTTGCCTCTAGACAGTTTTATTTTGATGTCTTTGGTTTCATATTTCCAAATGGCTTTTTTGGCATGGAAGCAAGATAGGAGACTAAAGGATATGTAACCACTTAGTAAGACACATAGATATTCCGTGTATCACTACAAATCAGTAAGACAGCAACTGAGATCAAGGCCCTGCTCTTACCGTGTTTCAAGTATGGCTGCCATGTTTACTACGATAAACTGCAAGCAAGACTGTTTTAGCTGTTCAGCATTATATGTGGCTGAAAATTCCAGGAGCTCAGCAGCATTCTTTAAAGTCACTGAAATTTAGAAATAGTGGCTATTTATTTGGAGAACATGATAGAAACAATAAAAGATTATGCTTTTCACCTGGTGCCAATAGTAGGCTACCCATATAGAGAAAGGTCTACATCCATACTCCAGTTTATTCACAAGATCCTAGGGCATTTTCTAAAATGCATACTCAAATCACACTGAGCACTAACATGAATGAATCAATTCTTTTGTGTGCTGTTGCAGTTACATTTTGCAAAAGAAGATGGATAATCTTTGCTAAAGAACATTTGTCAGATAGTCCCCTACTTACAAACAGTCCAAGAGGCTGTTCATAAGTCCATTTTGTTCGTAAGTCCAACCAAGTAAAAAGTAAAAAGTAAAAAAAAAAGGAGGTGGGGCAACGGTGTGGGCAGAGAAGCCCTATCTTGTGTGGCCAGGTGAGGCAGGAGAGGGGGTGGTAACAGAGGAGAGGGGAGTGAAGAATGAACCGGTGGGGCGCAGCATGTTCTGTTGCCAGGCAAGGCAGGAGATCTCCACCCCCTCTCTCCTGTTCTCTGCCACTGCCCCCTCTCCTACCTCTTTCTAACCCTTTCTAACCCTTTCCCGCCTTCTCCTGACTTCCAGTTCTGACTTCCAGCCCAACTTCCGGTTCTGACTTCCAGGTCCATCTTGTTTGTATTGGTGAAAGTTCACAACATGAAAGTTTGCAAGTAGGGGACTGTCTGTATTAGTAATCTTCTAACTGAGAAAGCCTTAGCAAAAATTCATGGAGCATAGAATGAAAACTACTGGGTAAGTACACTTTTTTTTTAAGAACAGGTCTTGTGTTTCCACATTTAATAAACAATATGACCATGTGTTCGCTTTGATATGAATTTTTACTTTAATAGAAAATGAAAACATTATAAGAACATTCTGAAACAATGAATAACTCACATTTTTCTGTAATGGCTACTTCACAGATTTCTTTTAATCGTAACATAAGGAGCTGGTCTGCTACCACAAGAACATTGCAGATGAATTCCACATTTTGAGATTCTGGAAATCAGTGAAAAATTGTAATTTAAACAAGTTTCCAACTTACTGTCCATTGGCTAGTTGAACCAATATCACATTCTACCATTTGTAGTGTATTAATTCACTTGACACCAAATGTTTTCAAATGATTAGATTGGAATATGCAAGTTGTCCTCTAGAAGTACTTCTATTCCATTTTCCACAATAAATTATCTCTTTTCCTCTTTTCCTCATTTCAGCTTTCTGCAAACATATTTTTAAAATGACTTACTATTTTCAACAGCTGCTGTGGGGGAATGCAGGATGCTAATTTTAAACAAAGAGTTTCTCCCTCAATATTAATCCCATTTGCAATGGAATTTCATACCACAGTTTGGGACTATCAATACTACTTTCTTCTTTACTCCCAATTTCTACCTTATCCCTAATTATCTGCAACACAAAACTTCTCAAAGGATACCAGATTCCTATTAATTCCTATTGCTACTAATTCTTATTCTAGTAATGCAAAAGAAGTTAACGCCCTCACCTTTTACTGTAACAGCTTCATCTGTGTAGATATAATCCAGGATGACCTGCAGGATTTCAGATGGGAATGGCAACTCTAGAGATGCACAACGTGATGCCTAAATGAAAGGGAGTTTAAACAGACATTTCAAGTGCAAGTCCACTTTACGATCCAGGACAATTTTGCTAAAAACTTTCAGAAAAGTCTTCAGGTTTCAAAAGACATATGCTGCCCACACAAAATAACTATTAACAAATAAATACCTATGATTTTCAAATAATGAAGATCATTTACTTATTCTGTTGGTAGCCCACATTGGTACACATTATACGATAGATGATAATGTTTTCATTCTTGAAAATCAGGACGGGTTTTACCAAGTATCCAAAGTATACTTTTTCCAAGGCAACTGGGATAATATACATAGGTTTAAAGCTTCTTGCATTTTTGTATAAGAAGAACTAGAGCAGAAGTAATGTTTTTCAATCCTCAAAGACTACCTCCAGTTTCTACAGGAATTACGCTTCTGAAAGATGATGGAAGCCTATCCAGTGAAGAGACTTCACAGAATTATCTATTTCCAATGTGGCCAGTTGCCAGAAAGCAGGCTATGGCAGGGAATAAAACTAAAAAGCAGTTGGCAGGCTCTTCTGATAGCAGCTACAGTGGATTCATAGAACCTTTCTCTATGTTCTCATAGCATACAGTATGGGAATTAATGATACAGTACACTATATAGCATCCATGCCTCATCAATTGTTCTGAACTATCAAGCCAAATGCAAACAAAGGGGAAAAACTCACACGAACACAGCATCCTGCAGACATAACCGAATTATTTCAAACATTTTGGTAATGCTCCATTTTGGAAAATAACTGTAAGGGAGTCTACTAAATGCTCCATAGCTATTAGTCATCCACTGGCACTTTCAGTATACACAAACTTGAGAAAGACTCAATCTGACTTCATGCTTTCAAGATTTATTAGAAAAAGCTTTGGACATTCACACCATGAAAAGAATTCCCAATGCCATTTGGGGGGGCGGGGGGTACAGGGACTTGGATTACTGTTATCTAACACTAATATGTGCACACTATTAGTAATACTGACAAAGCCATGCACATTCAGGCACAGCACCAGGAAATTAAGTGCCAAATCTAGCAATGAATCAGTTGCCTCTATTAGCATTGCGAACAACCCAAGAAATCTCTATTTTATATTTTATTGTACTGGATGTTGTTTTTAACTTCCAGAGTTGTTTATGAGTTGGGTGACTTTAGAAATTTGAGTGATAAATTAAATAAATAAATGTGCTACTTAGCTAGCAACAGTCAAGCCTATAGAAAAAATCTATTCTATTGCAATCAGGAGAATAACAAGGAGCCCAAGCATTTCTATTCAAAAAAGAAAACACCCAGTAAAATGGAAATAAATGGAGGACTAGAGTGAAGAAGCAAATAATTTTCAGAAATAGGGATCAGGGGTTAATAAATGCAGTATCCTGAAGGCCTCATGGCTTAGCCAGATACATGGACTTGACTACCAGAGAATATATGACTGTATGAAAAGGTGACCTTGCTCCAAGCTCCAGATATCATCTGAGATTACATTGGCTGGCACAGTATGAAGAAAGAATTGTTGTTGTTGTTACAGTGGCTTCCTTGTCACAAATGCAATTTCTATAAAAGTTAACTATTCCTACTCTTCTAAAAATATTTTTAAGAAGGTCTACTAAGGATACTTTTGACAGGCAATGAGGATATTTTAATTTTCTTCCATGTGAACAGTTTTATTATTAACTGACTGTTTAATATTTCCTCTTTCCCGGAACATCTAAAGTTCCTTCCACTGAGCAAGGTCCTGTTTTCTATTATATACAAAAAAATGTCATTAAAATTCATCAATATAGTGCAGCTAATATTTAATACTAATTATACAGTGGGGCAAAAAAGTATTTAGTCAGCCACCAATTGTGCAAGTTCTCCCACTTAAAAAGATGAGAGAGGCCTGTAATTTTCATCGTAGGTACACCTCAACTATGAGAGACAAAATGGGAAAAAAATCCAAAAAATCACATTGTCTGATTTTTAAAGAATTTATTTGCAAATCATGGTGGAAAATAAGTATTTGGTCAATATCAAAAGTTCATCTCAATACTTTGTTATATATCCTTTGTTGGCAATGACAGAGGTCAAACGTTTTCTGTAAGTCTTCACAAGGTTTCTAATCACTAATAAATATTTGCCTTTTGCATAACTGATTAAAGAATGGATACTTAAATCATTTTAATACCTACAGTGGGGCAAAAAAGTATTTAGTCAGCCACCAATTGTGCAAGTTCTCCCACTTAAAAAGATGAGAGAGGCCTGTAATTTTCATCGTAGGTACACCTCAACTATGAGAGACAAAATGGGAAAAAAATCCAAAAAATCACATTGTCTGATTTTTAAAGAATTTATTTGCAAATCATGGTGGAAAATAAGTATTTGGTCAATATCAAAAGTTCATCTCAATACTTTGTTATATATCCTTTGTTGGCAATGACAGAGGTCAAACGTTTTCTGTAAGTCTTCACAAGGTTTCTCCCACTTAAAAAGATGAGAGAGGCCTGTAATTTTCATCGTAGGTACACCTCAACTATGAGAGACAAAATGGGAAAAAAATCCAAAAAATCACATTGTCTGATTTTTAAAGAATTTATTTGCAAATCATGGTGGAAAATAAGTATTTGGTCAATATCAAAAGTTCATCTCAATACTTTGTTATATATCCTTTGTTGGCAATGACAGAGGTCAAACGTTTTCTGTAAGTCTTCACAAGGTTTGAGGTGTACCTACGATGAAAATTACAGGCCTCTCTCATCTTTTTAAGTGGGAGAACTTGCACAATTGGTGGCTGACTAAATACTTTTTTGCCCCACTGTAGGTATTAAAATGATTTAAGTATCCATTCTTTAATCAGTTATGCAAAAGGCAAATATTTATTAGTGATTAGTTCTTTAGTGATTTTTATATTCTTAAAAGGATATAATCCTCTATGCTGTACGACATTATTTTAATTTACTCCATAAGCAATTACTTTCTCCACATAATCCCCAATAAATATTTTTGCAGAATTTTTTTTAAAAAGGGACTGGTAATGAATCTGCACACTCACCTCAATCCAAGAGTTGCTCAGCATGCTGTGAAAGTAATCTGAAAAGGAGACAGATCTCATTTTGACATGTATTAAAAAAGCACAGAATTATTAATAAAATAACCAAGCTACCTTACGTTATACCTACCAAGTCTTGCACATAGTACACATTTGTGGCATGGGAATTCCTTTCCATCTTTAGACTTCATAGTCACATCACAGAGGTATGAACTGAAAAAAAATTACAACATTGTATAGAATATAATGTAACATACAGGTGAAACTCGAAAAATTAGAATATCGTGCAAATGTTCATTTATGTCAGTATGG